TTCAGGTCTACACTGAGCCCTCCTCCCTGTCCGAGTCCTGCCTTGCATACCACTGGGGACAGGGCGCTCACTCCCTGCTGGGCCTGCTCTGCACACGGCTCTGCCCCGGGCCATGTGCCCTGGAGTGCAGGAGTGTGGTCCTCCCGGGCTGTCACCACTGACGCTGCTTCAGGAACCCCGAGGAACAGGCCAGGCCCCTCCCCGCAGCAGGGTCCTGTGGAGGCTGTCCCCACCACCTGCAAGGCTGCAGCTCCTTCTCAGGGCCCCAGCCAGGCCCTCAGCTCTCCCAGGAGCCTGGTCGTGGCCTTTGTGGGCAGGCCAGCGTCCCCGTTCCCTGCCCTCTGTCCTGGCCACCAAGCTGGCTCCCCCCACGTCCTCCCTGGTGGTTCTCAGTGCAAGGCCATCAGTGTGTCCAGCCGAGCACCTGTCCCATTCACCTCGGGCCCCATCCCACCCCTGGCCTGCAGACAGACAAATGGTGGCAGGGACTGTGTGGGATGGATGCTCGCACCTGCATTGGCGACAAACTGTGGCCTGCGGCTTCCGGGGTAGAAGAGACACAGAGCAGCTGTCTGGCGTCACTCAGGACCCCCGGCAAGGGGTGCAGGACCTGTCCTGCCTAGAGGACCACTGCTATGGCAACAGGCATGCTACTGCTGATGTGGGTCAAGGGGGAATTGCGTGTGTGCGGACTGGGGCAGCAAGACAGCCCACCCAGAAAGAGGTCATTCTCCCTGAGACCCACAGGACCCACAGGGGAGCACAGCTTGGTGTGTGGGGGTGGGGTGGGGTCCAAATTCCAGGCCTAGGGAGCAGCAAGTGCAAAGGTCCTGGGATCACATGGGTGATTTTGGCATAGTTGCGCAACACACATTGTGCAATTGTGTTTGCCTAGGGTTGTGGGCTGTGGGTACCTGGGAGAGGAACCCATCCTACCACTGCCTTGGAAGGGCTCAGAGGCAAGTGGGAGAGATGGAGTGATTTGGAAATGTATGTTAGGGCTAGGTGTGGTGGCGCACACCTGTAATCCCAGCACTAGGGAGGCTGAAGCAGGAGGATTGTCATGAGTTTGAGGCCAGCTTGGATTCCATAGTGAGTTCAAGGCCAGCCTAGACTACATAGCAAAACCCTGCCTCAGAAAAACAAACCAAAACAAAAAGTAAAGGAAAAGAAATCAACTATGAATCTAGACAGCAATAATTAGGAGGCCTGATTACTTCAGAGAGGATCTATGTGGTTCATGTTAGCCTTTAACTCTCAGAGATCCTCCTGCCTCAGCTTCTTCAGTGCTAAGATTACAGGGTTGCACCACCACATGCAGTTTACACTGTTTTAAAGCACAACACACAGGGGCTGGGGATTTAGCTCAGTGGCAGAGTGCCTGCCGTGAGTTTGATTCCAGGTAATGGAAAAAACAAACAAACAAACAAAAATCAAGCACAACACACAGCCCCGTGCAAGCCCAGACAAACAGCTGTGCGAGATCCCAGCCCAGCCTGGGTGCTCAGGCTCAGCAGGAGGCTGCCACGCCTGTTGAAACCTTTCTGGCCATCAGATCTGGCCCTAACTCCAGGGCGCCCTGGGCCCTGCCTCTGGCCACACGCTTGAGTGTCCCCCGGAATGGTATGTAGCAGGGCAGGGCTCCCAGCTGGCACAGTTCCCCAGGGCGGCCAGGAGCGGGCTTGGTGTGCGGACAACAAGACTGCACCACGTCCCAGCAGGGACAGGGGCCAAGCGCAGGGGGCAAGTACCAAAGGCCTGGACCAAGCGGGTGTGGGGGAGGCCCTGCACCCCACCGCAGCCTCCCGGGGTCCATCAGGCCCACAGTGCCCCAATGCATAGCCCGCTGGTAGCCCTGTGATACAGGGATCCACCCCCGCCCTGCCCAGGATAGAAGTAAACATCATCACCATCATGGTTTTGTCTTTTTGAGACAGGGTCTCAATATACAGGGCAGGCTGGACTTGAGCTCACTTTGTAGTCCAGGCTGGCTTCGAACTTACAACGATCCTCCTGCCTCAGCCTCAGAAGAGTGCTGGGATTATAGGTACGTGCTACCACTCCCGGCCTCAACCCAGGGCCTTTGAACTGAACTATATCCCCAACCCTTTTTTATTTTTTATCCTTAAATTTTGAGACAGATTCTCTTGTTAAATGTAAGTTACCAGGTCTGAGCTTGAACTTGCAATCCTCCTGCCTCAGCCTCCCAGAGTGCCGGGATGACAGGCATGGGCCCCCGTATCTGGCTGTAGAACAAAGATTTTAAATTTCCAAATCAAAGGTAGTGGCCAGAGAAAGCTGCACAGCTCTGCGCTCTAGCTGCAGGAACCAGCCACCCCTTTAGAAACCCACAGGGTAGGCACTAGACCCCTTCACAGGGACACGGGTGCGAGCGGAGTGTGACAGGTGGTAGGCGCGGGTATCCCTTGATTTGGCTTTGGAGCAAATGACCTCGAGACCCAAAGGGCCACTGCCAGGTGGGCGCGGTGTCCAAGCCAGGCTGACGGGCACAGAGGACACAGGTCACACAGGAAGGCCTCATCCCGCTGTGCACGCTGCCCCTAGTGGCCACGGGCAACGCTGCAGGACCACAAGGCAGGAGCAATGTGCAGCCACCACTCTTGTCCAGTGGCCAGGGCCGGCTGTACCCCGGCCACCCTGTGTATCCCCAGGAAGGGTCCCTGGGACCCTGGACAGGCCACAAGCGCTCCCTGCATCTTGATGCTGGGGTGTGGGGGTGACACGCAGAGACACACTTTGTCCTGAGCTTTATCACTGTGCTCTGGGTTGACTGTACCTGTCCCTGTGGCTGGAGCTCCATGTGGGCACCCCCCCTGAGGTAGTCACAAGGTAGTTCAGGCTGGTCTGCGTAACAAGATCCTGTCTCAAAATTTAAAGAACAACATTGAGAACTACTTTAGCAAGAGATCTGATGTAAGAAATTTTCATATTCTGTGAATGTCACAGGAATATACTACTTACTTACAATAAGTAGCTCCCAGCAGTCGCTAAACAGTAAGTGTAGGTTTCCTTCTCTCCATTTCTAAATTTAGGTATTCCCTGGTTTGTTACCACTGAAGAAAGCACTTAGACAAACATATATGTATGGCACAAGTCCATGAACCGGGCATAGTGGTACACTAGGGAGGCTGAGGCAGGAGGACTGCCACAAGTGTGAGGCCAGCCTGGGATATATACCGAGTTTAAGGCCAGCCTGAACCACATAGTGAGCCCTGTCTCAAAAAAAAAAAAAAAAAAAAAAAAAAAAAAAGGCCATGAAGTTAAGAGTGAGACTATTGGGAAATTTTTCTTTTTTGTTTTGTTTCCAGTACTGTGAATCGAACTCATGACCTTGAGCTTGCCCGGCAGGTGCAGTGCCGCTGAGCTAAATCCCCAGCCCCTAGGAAATTTTTCATAATACACAAATAAATGAGAATATCTCTGTTCTATCAACGTCAAAGATCTGGACTGACACAAAAACCACCTAAACTGAGTACTTATTTGAAATCTAGTGTCTATAAAACTAAAGCATGTATCAATGTCCGTCACATCTGCAGGGACCTTTTAAGCGCTCCACACTGAGTGGACACACGATTCCAACGCCACTTACACGAACGAGTGGAAAGAAATACATAATGCTAGGAAATGGTGGCTAAGGTTAGCTTTCATGCTAGTCTTTTGTTTTATAGTGATACTGGGATTGAATCCAAGGCCTTATGCACGTTAAGCGAGGGTTCTACCACTTAGATACACCTCCAGCCCTTTAAAACTTTTAGACAGGGTCTGATTAAATTCCCCAGGTTGGCCTTAAACTTGCCATTCTCCTGCCTCAGCCTCCCAAGTAGCTGGGATGATAGGCATATACCACCACCATGCCTGGCACACTTTAGCCTTCTAAAGGAGGTACTCCCAAGCCACTTTTCTTTTATTTCCACCACTAAAGGCATATGCGTAACGTGCTTACTTTCAAACAAAAGGAATAAGTAAATTCTTTTTCAAAAGGAAAGCTTTCCTATAGAATTAAAAATTTTAATTGATGCTTAAGTTACAAACCAAACCTGGGCAATCACATATAGATGGGTTTATCATGCTTAAATGGAAACTGTGAGGTTATGCTTTCAAACACAACTTCCCAATTCATTGCAAAGAACCAATGTATTTTCTCAAAAATTGTCTAATTTCTTTCCATTTACAATGCACGCTATTAGCTGCGGAGTTCGGCACACACCCATAATCCCAGAACTAGAGAAGGAGGATCTCTGAGTTTGAGAGTTTAAGGCCAGCCTGAACTACACTGTCTCAAATATACATATGTATGTATATATATATATATATATATATATATATATATATATATATAAAAAATGTATGTTGTGAGAAAAAAAAAAGATACGATGAATGCTATGGAAAGTTAAATGCTAAATAACGTACCATCTCTCCTAAAGACAGGAGATAGAAAACCGAATCATTATCAAGATTGAATAATAAGGCTTTAATGGCTCATTTTTCTCGCGATTATATAAATATATAAATCTTGAAAGGGTAATACTGTTAGTTGAGTAGGAAAATCCATAAAAATAAGAGTTCTACCACGTTGTACAGAGAACCTCATTCACTTCGCGCCCCCGTTCCCCTCACTAAGCAGCTTTCACTGAATCTCTTTTCTTTCTTTGTTGGAGACAGGTGTATCGAGTTTGTCCTGCGTGGACTCGAACTCCTGGACTCAAGCAACCCTCCCGAGCAGCTGGAAGTGTAGGAGCACGCCACCCTCCAAGCAGCTTTCGGCGTAGAACTGGAAGACATGAAAAAGTCTATACTTTCTACGGGAAATAACGAAGATACTGAGAAATAAAGAGTTCTCAGAAAACAAACTTTAAAAATTCCACACCCCAAAGCATAGATGCCTATCCAGAGGACTTTTTTTTTTTTTGTCTTTTTTTGAGACAGGGTCTCGCTGTGCAGTTCAGGCTGGCCTTCAGCGCACTTTGTAGCCCAGGTTGATCTCGAACTCGCAACGATCCTCCTGCCTCAGCCTCCCGAGTGCTGGGATTACGGGCGTGCGCCACCACGCCCGGCTCGTCCAGAGGACTCTTACTTAACACTCGAGCTAAGAGGCTCCCCTGGGGCCCTCCCGGGGCAGCCCGGTCGCTCAGGGCTGCGGCCCGTCACCGCAGCAAGGGAAGTGGTCTTCGGTCCGAAACAGGACGGGCGGCTCGTAGCCGGCGGGCGGCGTCCGCGAGGCGGCCGGCCTGTGGAACAAGGAGGGCACGCTGATGGTGTGCAGCAGCCTCCGGAACGCCCTGGGCAGGGGCCCCCGCTCGGCCTCGGCCCTGGCGACCTGCTCCTCCATCCTGGCCACGCTGCCGCCGACCATGCGCACGAAGGCCTCGAGCTTGTCGATGCGGCCGTAGATGCGCCGCATCTCCGCGGCTTTGGCGCGGATCCGGGGCACGCCCTCGCCGACCACGTGCGCCGAGTCGCCGCGAATCATCTCCAGCATGCCCACGAACTCGTCCACGCGGGCCAGCAGGTCTTCCAGGCCGGCGTCCAGGGCCTCCACCTCGGGCCGCGCCCCGGGCCCGGG